TGCCCCAGCCGTGGTGTTTCATCCCTCAGAATGTCCAGCATCTTCCGCTGTTCCACCTGGGATGAGGATCCCTACGGCATGACCAAGGCCAGGGAGGTGCTATCTAATTAATACAAAATGGAGTATAAACACCAGGCCACCTGTTTCACCACCATTTCCAGTGTCTCATCATCCCCCCAAAAAGGAAACTGAGGGCCCCTGGAGTACGTGGCCTGTGCTGTGTCGGTCACCAGTAGCAGCACCAGGAGTCCAATCAATGCACTCAGCGCCGAGATCAAAATCAAGGCACATTGCCAGCCAGCCACTCCTCCAAGCTGCAGGGGGGCAATGGCAGTGGCACAAGCTGTGAAGGCGGTTTGCCCCAAATTTCCTGCAAGAAATTGTGCGACTTCGAAGCATCAAATGGAGATTCATGGCATCTGAATTCACGGCAAGGGCCGGGCTCACCACAGTTCAATATCCACAGTTCGTAAGTTCGGGGATATCCATTGGCATACATCTCAAGGTCAAATAATAAATGTGTCATCTCAAAAAAGTTAAGGTCACACAAAAGTGGTGAGCATTCCTTTCAGTCTCCCCTGACCCCTTTGGAAAAGGCACTAAATGTCTTGTGGGGCCAGTCTATTTTGGACATGGTGCGGATATGTATAGAATCTGTGGTTGAATAGGTGCCAGAATAGAAAAGGAGAGTGAGAGGGAGGGAGGGAGTGAATATATTATACAGTGTGTGTGTGTGTTTGTTCTTGTGTGTTGTATGTGTTTGTTGGCATAGTGATAGGTGCAACTCACCGTCTTTCAATGCAATTTATTTGGCCATATCGCATTCCCTAAAATGACATGCAATGTCCATATGCTCATTATTTTATGTGCAGGTACGATGATGTAGATTTGGAACACTCACTTTCTACATTTTTCTACGCTATGTGCGGTAGGCACCCAAATACATGCCGTGTGAGCTTCGCGTTTGCATCTGCAGAGAGGTGATATAAATTGATGTTGAAACAAATCCATCCTCACAGTCACATGCTCAAAGGTGCAAAATGGTTCAAGCAACCTATCTATATATATGTGTGTGTGGGCCACAGCCAATATTTAATATGTAGCTCCAAGTCATCAAATTTTGAAAAATAATGAAAAATATATGATCATTTTTCAGGTTTTGGGAAACCATGTTCAATGGTATTTCTGATGGTTTTCCGGCAAGGGACGAGATATTTCCTGAAATGCAGCATCAAGCGAAATTCTCGGGCATTCGTTTTCTTCATGGAACTGCCGCCACCACTAGCACAACCACCACTATCACATCACAACCACCACTATCACCCACCACTGTCACCACCACCACTATCACAACCACCACAACTGACGAAAGCTTCATTTTCACATCTTCCACGTTCATTTTTGTTGAGGGAAGTCTTGCACGAAAGCTTCATTTTCACATCTTCTACGTTCATTTTTGAGGGAAGTCTCGCACGAAAGCTTCATTTTCACGTCTTCCACGTTCAATTTTTGAGGGAAGTTTTGCGCGAAAGCTTCATTTTCACATCTTCCACTTTCAGTTCCAACAACTCATTCAGGAAACATCTGAGCCTTGCCATGTCTTGCGCTTGCTTGCTGCTCTTGGAGGAGCAACGCGCGCCAAGAACAACAGCTTTTCAATGGGCCGCGTCTGGCAGATAGGGATTATGTGATTTTTTGGCTATCGTTTCGTTGTCGTTCGGGTTATCGTTTGGGACACCTGGTTGGATCAAGAAAATCTGCAAAACAATGATTCTGGGAAACCCTTCTTTTCAAATTTCTTAATGCTGCTTGAACAAAGCCTGAGGCTGCCGCGGAAAACGAAAAGCACAAACTCCAAAAGGAATAGAGGAAAGAGCGGAATCTACAGCACCCACGCTGTTCCTGCCGCAAGGCCTCAAGGCGAGACCTTGCGGCAAAGTTCTTCTTTCCTTCCTCCCGCATGGCGCGTTGTCACTAATTAGCAAGAATTAAATTTATTCAGCATGCAGCGCAAACAGCAGCATAAACAGACCATCACCACACAGCAATGCACATCGCCAGGTACCACCTTTTCAAAACAGGATTTTGCCGTTTGCCCATCTCTCAAACAGATGGTGAATGCTATTGAATGCCTACACAAAGGCATCGAATGACCGAATAACTTGCACCGTAAGACAAAGGATGACTGATGACCAAGATCAAACATAAGCAAATGTTATCGTTCTTTGAAGAGTGTATTGTCGTTTTCCATGCCCCAGCTCAATTTCCCAAAAATAGAGATGCCTCGAAGTCTACTCTCCATTACGGAAAATTTTGGCTGTAGGTCATATTAATCGTAGACACACTTTCCAGCTTTCCAGCCGATATCAGAATGGCCACCCCCATTTCGACCACTCAGTTCCAAGTCTCCGGTACAAAGCAAAAATCCAAAGGCACGCCCTCGACCGCTAGCACCGCTCTTGTCGGCAATCAGGCTGAAAAGCAAGGGCTGCACGATACCAAGACCAACGCCATTGACGGCACGGAAAATGATCATCCACCTCAAAATAGATTTGAAATGGATGGCCAAAGCAGGGTTCTTCAATGTTCCTTATAATTCCTCGGTGAATTTCACCGGTTTGGGGGTTGACCACTATCTAATATCTATCTATAATGAGTGAGCGGAGGTAGGCCATCCTTGTTGCGGTATCTTAGCAAATTGCATAAAAACAGCTGGAAGCTCATATCAGTCATTTTCTTCGGGCTTTCCCATCATTGCTTGAAGCTTCTCAGCATGTCTCATGTCCCTCATCGCCTCAAGTTGGGTGAAAAGGCACAGCCAACCAAGCCCAAGGCCCAGATATTGCAGCCCAAAGCAATCAGCCGCGGTCGTGGCAAACGATCTGCCAAAAACCCTGCGGGCAACGCGCAGATGGATTCGAAGATGCCACGTGCCAAGCCCAGGCCGCCCAAATCACCAGGAGTCAACTGGAAATGTTGCGCGATCTCGGCATAGACGGCTGGTAAAGCCATGTTGTCTGCACTCCAGAGGATCATCACTAAAAACAAGGTCACCATCTGCAAAAATGAAGAGTTCCAGACAAACTCCTCTTTCATCAACTTCTTATCTGACGAATCGTTTCTGGGAAGCAGTGAAGTGGCAAATGAATCGTTGCTGGATGATCTGGATGCATCCGATGTCTCAGATGCATATGCGTCCAGGCTGATAGTCAACGGCATCACCCGTGCAGTCAGTGTTCTACTGCTCTTCTGTTTGAGCACCGGAGCAACACGGCCACTACAGGAAAGAGACTCAGATAACTTTCAGTGTCGAACTGGGGAACTGCCTAAAACCCTCTCACTTGTAGAGGCTAGGTGCGAGTATTTCAACCTCAACATACCTCAACATACCTCAACCATTTAGTACTGACTCCCTCTAGTGAAATTATGGGAAAAAGGATAATGTCCATCGTTTCCGCCAAATACAAAGACGGAATCCCTTCCCAACTCGCCTCACCGCTTCGCTCTCCCACACTGGAGGCTCGGTGGTGACATAGACCCCAGCTTTACCGGATCGCATAAAGAAGATGTGATGATCCACCTCCCCGTTGCGGATGATGAAATCCTGGCTGAGAAGGGGCCAGCTTTTTGGGCCTCTTGGCTGAATCGAATCTTCAGTCATCCACGGAACTTGTTGTTACCCTCATCAGAAATTCATGAAATTCCACCATCATCAGAATATCAGAATCATCACCATCTAGGGATTTTCCCAGCTAAATCAGCCTCCATTTTCGATTTCCCAGCAGCCACCGGTGATTTCCCAGCACTGCTGTGCAGCTGGACCGGCTCCGCCAAGGAACCCCAGGCAGATCCACATGCTCTTGAAAATGTTTCACCAACTGCGAGATGACCTGACATCTGTGTGAGGGAGAGCACGAAATTACTCAAAAGATCCTTGTAATATATTGTGTTTGACTATACTTTCATAGTGCATAGGCATAGTAATTTGCAATACTTATGATGGATACATAATTACAAATTATTCCATAAATTTGTGTAGAATATAGATATGTTACATATTAGTTACATATCACCTCCACTACATGATCCCATATGGCCAGGAAACCATCATAGGTTGTGATAAGATGTGCGAGGACCAGACAGCAAACGATCGAAGATCCCATAATCTTCATGTACTCGGAAAATATCGGACTATTGTTGCACATGTTTCTTGATTGAGTAATGGTACGCAAATGTCGGCAACAGCGTTGCGCCAACTAAGCCAACCAACATTTACAGTATGATCGCAACTGGCATACCTCAGCCTGGGACAGTTTTTTTTGCACAGTGCAAGTCCCAATCCCAGCCACAAATGGAAGCAAGAAACGTCCTATATAATCACTCAGGTTACTTACCAGTGAAATGGAATGAGTCATGATGAGAGTATAATTACATATAATTACCCAGTCAACAACACTAGAAGTAGTACAAATTCTACAACGTGCTTAACCCAATGCCAAAAACATCCTACGCCCGCCTCAACAGGCTGCTGCCGAAAGTACCGCGCTCGTATGAGTAGCTCGTGGTACCTGGCCCAAACCCTTGATCCGAATCAAGGATCATCCCAGGTATCACTGGGTTTGCTTCACCACCAAGAATGGAGATTCTACCATGTTTATCACCAAAGATGATTGTCCTTGGATTGATTTAAGGCCACATCTGCAGGACACCCATGAGTTTTGACCAACCGTGTTGTTATTTTGTACAGTAGATGTTCTGTTCCTCGTGCAATGGCACCCCCGGCTTTTGGAAATGCCGGACAGCCAGAGTTGAACCAGCAAGAAAAGAAGAATTGACCCACAAACATAAGAACCAGAACAAAATACATGGGGCCGTCTACAGTATGATATGGGGAGTTCAAAGAGCAAATCGACCATTTGGTTGATACCCAACACCAAATTGTCTGATGAGTATTTCTGTGCCAGCGTCTTCTGCTGCCACAATCAGAGTGGCAAATTCATGGCTAATCTTGTGTAATCTCAGATCCCCTGGGATTATAGCTGGGCAATCGATTCCTCTGATCATGGACAAACACAGAGGGTCCATGAACCTCTCAAACCAACCAAGGTTGGCCTGGTAATTTGAGTAAAAAATTGCATATATCTGGGTAAATTATAATATTTCACTGACCCGAAACAAGGCTCACAATCTTCCCTTGGCCGGCCAGCGCACCTGAAACAAGGCTATTTTGGGATAATAATTAGCCCTACTAACCATCATTCCAGCGAGATCGCAGTGAGGTCGTTATGATTTAAAATAATTTACCCATTACGCAATCACTGCAGTGCCGGGCAGTAAAACTTGAAGGTCGATCAAGAACTCTCTATGGATCTCTATGGAAGATGAGATTTGCCAGCTTGGATGATAATCCAAGGCAAACGCCACGTGGAAAACGATATCAACCCCGGATTGAGACACCACTAGTCACTAGTTTATTTCTTAAAAACGTGCCCAAAGTAGTGATAATCAGCTAAAAAACATTGATAATCCTTGTTAAATAGTGATCATCAGTTTATTTATGATAATCATTGATAATCTGCTAACATGGTGCCCAACCGTTACAATCAAAGGGGTGCCCATGGTCGTCAACGTCAGCTGCTGGAGCCTGGCCAGCCTCAGCTCCTCTAAAAGCGCTGCAGATAGGTTGCCTCCGGCGAGCCAATTGTCTTGGCGTAGCTCGAGCACTTACAGTAAGCACATACGTATGCAGCATGTATGTGCATGTATATATGAATGTGCCGATTTTGAATACACATTTGTCATTAAATATATATTTATATATATATAGAACATATATATATATATACAGTATATCATGTGTCAACAAAAAGATGTAATCATGACCGCAATCACTAGTCGTGTGACCCACTCAGCCTGATTGTTCAAAATCATGTTGGATGAAGTGGTCGTGAAAGTCCTGGCTGCTCCGACACATTTTCCCACCCCAAATGCCTTGTGTCTCACCAATACATTTTTACAATAGTTACAATAGTTGATACCAGGGATTATTCACTTATCCCCATGATACTCCCATTAAATCCCACTTGTTTTTTCATTACACCATAATAATCCCAGGGAGTGCCCACCACAAGGCACAGGCGAGTCCTGATAGCACAGCACTCTTTGTACCAGGTCAGGATGTATTGCTGCCTGTCATTCGTCAGAAAACACATGAGAAGAAACAGCGTTTCAAATATATACATATAAACAAATAATTATATATATAATTACACACATATACGTATGTTGAATATGTGAATGCGTGATATCTATCCTATCAACGACATCAACATTTCATTCAACAAGAGGGTATGTGCTAAAAGGAAGTGGCTGCTGATCGCCGAACCACGATAGCCAGGGTTTCTCACCATGCGGGACCTATACCATCCCATAGAAAGTGGCTCGTAGCCATGGGCCATGGCTAAAATCGCAATATATATATATAAAGAAAACACTTTTTTTGTACCTCGTTCCATTTCTTGAGGACCTGGACACTTTTCATGGACCTTACTTACTACGATTCTTTTGGAGATGGCTACCCTTCTTTTGGACCTGCACAACCTCCTGCTGGACCCGGCCCTTCCCCAAACCATCCCCCCTTTGGATAGATTCTCCAAGCTGCGCCTTGATCGCAATTCTTCAATTCAAACAGTGCAACATGGCAGGAAGCATTTCAGTACATTGTGTGGCTTCAGTGCCTCCTTCCCATTCTGCCCTCTTCTCAATTTCTAATTACTTTTCACACCTCTTCCGGCCTTTCTCAGTTATGCAGGGGCTCAACTTGGTGTCAACCTGGGTGAAAGTGCCTCACTTGGGGGGCATTCATCTGGTTTCAATATCTAAAATTCCCCCGCTTTGTGCCTCTCAGCAATTTCCTGCATTCATTCACTTGGTCTCAACAAGACCGCCCCTCCGGCCTCTTAACAGCTTTTTGCATGCATCTTCATGTGGTTTCAATGTTGCCTCTCAACAACTTCCCGCATTCATGCGGTTTCAATATCTAAGCTTCCCGCCCCTCGTCTCTCCACAGCTTCTTGCATGCGCCGTCATTTGGGTTCAATATCTAGGCTTCCACTGCGCTCATCTTGTTTCGATGTCTAACTTCCCCCCTCCACCTGCCTCTCTCTCACCAATTTTCTGCACTCATCTGGCTTCAATATCTACATGTTCCCCCTTTCTCTGAACATCTTCTTACATGGATCTTGTCTCAATATCCAAATTCCCCCCACCCTGCGCCAGGTCCAAAAAAACATGTACAGGTCAAGAAAAAAAAGTGCCAAGGTCCAAAAACATCCAGCCCAATGTGAGCGCAAGCGCATATAACAATGGAGTTTCCTCCCCCTCACCCCTATGGACGCAAGGTCCACAAAGCAGGTGCAGGGGTCCAAAAAGCAGAAACCGAGGTCAGAAACAATTAATTTGGCGGTCGTAAAAAAATTCCCTGGGTCCAGCACAAATACATGCAGGTCCAAAAAAAATATTCGCACCGGGTCAAGAAAACACACAGGCACGTCCCCCACATTTTTTGTGCCCCCAGGTCAAAAAAAAATCTGGCCAGGTCCAAAATACATGTACGGGTCCAAAAAAATGATGCCCAGGTCCAAAAAACATGCATCCCATATAATAATCCAATTGGAAATGGGAATCAAGCCCACTTGTATATGGAGGTTTCCTAAAATGAAGGTACCCCTAAATCATCCATTTCAATAGGATTTTCCACTATAGTTTTGGGAATCCCCCATTTCTGGAAACCCCCATATTGCACCCTGAGCAAGAGATAGAAGACAAGCCGCTTGTATCAAGTTGTTCTGAGTGTGCTTTCTCTCGCTGAGACGTTGGGAGGTGGAGATGTTCCGGAGTGATGTCAGCCATGTCTTAGCGGCTGCGATATGCTGCGATGCACCAGTAGCTGGCCCTAAAAGGGCGAGAATATATATGTCTATCAGACAGTCTATCTGTCCAACTTGAAGAAGCGAAGGAAAGGAAGCGGCATGCAAAAACAGTGATCACAATTCGTGTCGCCATGAAAAAATTGAATGAATTGAAATAGCACCAACAAAAACGATGATAATCTAAAGTCAAAGATCCAGCTCGGCAAAGATCTTGGCAACCAACATCTGCCCCACCATCATGTAGATGGCACATGAAAAGCGCCTCAGCTTTCATCAGCTGTCAACATGTCCCGAAATGCCTCTATAAATGCCCTAGATCTTGCTGAAAAACAATGTCACTTGATGTTTTCACAAACCGTTGATCATTGACAATTGGGGAGAAATTCACAGGAGACCTTGGGAAGAGCCTCTTGAAAATCAGCCCATAGATTTGCAGATTCTCCAGTCACTGGTCAAGGTGCTCCACCGAGTTGGTCCCGCCAAAGTCACCGTAGCCAATGGAGGTTAGGGTATAAGTGGAGAAATAAAAGGCGGCCCAGAACCTTGGCCCATTGGCACTGAAACCACGAGCGGACGGGAGAACCAGTTGGCTGTTGCCACCACTCAGGCAGTGGCTTTGCCACACCTTTCTGGCGGAGGGCGACCCTGAAGATCTTGAATCCGGGATGAGCCAGGCATGTCAAAGAACTGAAAGAAGAATTGAATCGGATTTATATCCAGGATACAGTAGTCCAAACTTCTAAAGTCTAAATAGTTATCTATAATTACTTAAATTGTCTATTCTATTCAAGTTATCTACTTCAGTTATCTGCTTAAGTCATCTGACTCTATTTCTGCGAGGCAACTGTTCTGAGCACACCAGCTCCGTCCAGGGTTCATAGCCCCAGATTTGCTGCCTCGGTCGGGGGACCAGCGCTGCACCAAGTAGGGCGATGTAGACATGACTGCCATCTGCTATGATGTTGATGTTCTATATTTTTTCTCCGATGTTTGAGCGTCCTGCTCATTTACAACATCTTTCAATATCTTTCACATCACGAAGCATCAGTGAAAACAAGCTCCAGCCTTTGGTTTCGCCGGGCGGCTCGTAATGCCCTAGTAGCATCCAGTAGCAGGAAAAGAGATGAGCTGCCAGAAAGAGTTGCAGCAAAATGATGGCGAATTCGATCTCAAACTGAACACCTGGGGTCAGATGGCTATGAGTCAAAACCCTAGATCCCTTAGTGCCCTATAGGTACTGTACCCTAAAATGGGTGGTTAACGGATCGTTATTACCCCAAATATGGTAATAATCGCTTTTGACCCATCCCCAGATGTTGGAGGATGTTGGTTACCCTGTAGTTCCGAACATCAACGTGAAAAACCCAGCATTTGTAGTTCCTTTTATGGAAAGCCATGGCTTTTCAACATCCATTTTCGCCCACCACTGCCGCGTCCGAAAAGGCACTGACGATGATCGGTGCCGAGGGCTCCCAGAGGCGCCACAAACGAAGCAGGTCCAGCAGCGAGAGCCACTGTTCTGTGCGGAGGTTTTCACCAAACCTCGGCTGCGCAAAATTTTCGTGAGAAATATGTACGACGTATAATATATATTTAGAAATATAAAAAAAAATAAATAAATATTATATAAAGCATGATTGAAGAGTTATGATTTGACATTTGGACTTAGAGCTATAGGTTTACCAGGATCGATCATTCAATCCATCTATCTTACCGAATCTACATGCGGTGCATGTGATTAATGTACAATGTAATTGTAATATTATCCGTGTGTGTATGTATGTCTGTATGTCTGTATGTCTGTATGATTCTGTATGTCTGTATGTCTGTATGTCTGTATGTCTGTAGGTATGTAGGTATGTAGGTATGTAGGTATGTAGGTATGTAGGTATGTAGGTATGTAGGTATGTAGGTATGTAGGTATGTAGGTATGTAGGTATGTAGGTAGGTATGTAGGTATGTATGTAGGTATGTATGTATGTATGTATGTCTGTATGTCTGTATGTCTGTATGTCTGTAGGTCTGTAGGTCTGTAGGTCTGTAGGTCTGTAGGTATGTAGGTATGTAGGTATGTAGGTATGTAGGTATGTAGGTATGTAGGTATGTAGGTATGTAGGTATGTAGGTATGTAGGTATGTAGGTCTGTATGTCTGTATGTCTGTATGTCTGTATGTCTGTATGTCTGTAGGTCTGTAGGTCTGTAGGTCTGTAGGTATGTAGGTATGTAGGTATGTAGGTATGTAGGTATGTAGGTATGTAGGTATGTAGGTATGTAGGTATGTAGGTATGTAGGTATGTAGATATGTAGGTATGTAGGTATGTAGGTATGTATGTATGTATGTATGTATGTATGTATGTGTGTCTGTATGTATGTATGTATGTATGTAGGTAGGTAGGTAGGTAGGTATGTATGTATGTATGTATATATGTATGTATGTATGTATGTATGTACGTATGTAGTGGACTTTATGTATAGATATGGGGTATTATATGATATCATATCATGATATAATGATACAATGTCATGTGGCATGTTTATTCTTAACTCACAATTCTGAGAGGATAACATGTGGTTTACCGCTGCTTACCGCTACCATACGCTACCCCAACCACTGAGCCGAGTGACCACAGTTGTCCAAAGCCGACGTCTGCGTAGTGGACGAGTTGCATGACATCGCCCACTAGGGCTGCCCTGAGAGCAGTGCAGATCAAAGGAAATGGAAAAGCGAAGAACATGTCACCATTTGACCAAGGAAAGGAAAGGAAAGGCGCATGTGCATCACTATTTTCACTTATGGATGGCCTCTGGACGTTTCGCAACTTCGGCCAAGTCACAAATCCAGCCAGAGGCCGGCATGTCGCAATTGCCACGCCATAACACTCCTGCGAAGCTACATGAAGCCATCAGGTCCATCAGGTCCATCAGGTCCATCAGGTCCATCAGGTCCATCAGATCCCATGAGATCCCATGACACAGCCAAGAACACGGTCAGCATGGCTTCCAGTAAGGTTTAGTGTGATGGTAACAGGCATGCCGTAGATGTACAGAGTCAAGCCAACAAAAGTGCAAAGCACCTTATACCTGCCAGAGTTCAAGGATCCCGGGGCCTATGTTGTGTGTTTAAGGAATACCCCGGAAGCTCAAGCTCATCACATCTCATCACCAAGCCATCCTGAAGGCCACCAACTCAAACTTGTCTTTGGTCACTACTGAGAATGTGAAAAACACCACCTGGGCCGAGGATTCGGATCATTTCGGATCCAAGCTACTCAGCCGGGTAGCTAACCATCACAAATATACAACAACTAAGAAAAGCATTGATATCAATTGTAACATATGTAATCAGAAGGGATATTGGGAGCCTCCAAAGTGCAACTTTTGTTCTCAAGATCTGCGCAGGTCCAGCATACAAAGGCCTTTTGAGGCAGTGGTGGTAGTCCTACCATGTCCTGCTTGCAAAGCTGTGCAAGATTATTACCATTTGTTTATTTAACATAGCCATGGAAAATCACAATTTTCAATAGGTAAACCATCTATAAATGGGTCATTTTCCATGGCTATGTTAAATAACCAGAGGGTAATTATCTAAGAATCAAGCAGTGGTCGGGCATGGGTTTGTCTCAAAATCAGGCAGCCCAGTTTCAAATCAAGACTCCTAGAGCCTGTCACCACTGAATGCAGCAACACTTTTTGATGGCCGAAAAATGATATTTGCGTCGAGCGCTTGACTGTGCCCCTCGAAAACCAACCGCATACCCCTTCAAAGCGGCTGAGCCCACTCCACATAGATCAAATTCAAAACACTGTCTCTCCCTACCAGACCGGCCCTCGATACCAGCAAATTATACAATTATTAATGTCAATGATCTTTCCACCATTTTTCCCCATTCTCATTATTAGCCCCCATGTTTGGGCAAACCCATATGTTTCAACTTTCATCCTACGGGTCTCCAAGTTGCTGTGGACAACACAATGTACAAGATATCAACGGTGAACTGTGTCGCGTGCAGTGCGGCCAAGTCTTGGAGGTCCTGAGCTGGTCATGTCAACCCCCAACGGCTCTTGTGCTTGGGTACCATGGGGTACCAGTTAAGTATCGTGGTATCACTCTTTGGGGAATAGCCCCCTTAATAAACCATGGCAGTGCAGGTGGAAGTGCCGATTCGGTGCCACGAGTCCCGGCGGTTGGGTGAAGGACAAATGGGCTGCATCGCCAAAAGGCCCGGCGTCAAAAATGCCGTGCAAAGGGCCAGCAGTTGGAGTATTCGGCCTCAGAGTCTGCTCAAATTCACGCAAATGCACTAGAAGTAGCTTCTCCAAACCCAAGCTGTGCCATTCTCTCCCCTTGAAAATCATGGCCCACCGAGCCGAACATGGCTGACTTTAGATAGGAGTTAAGTGCTAATTGCTCTATCTATGGCCGAAGCCATTCCCATATTCACCCCCTTGGTCTACCCATCATTAATTCGTAATGCCACCATCGAAGCAAATCAAAACTCCCAGTTTTTGATCTATATTTACATGTATATCTGTATATCTATCTAATATCTATACATACCATATACATCATACACTATACATATATAATATATTATCATATATATATATAATATGTATATAATATAATCATATTATATATATATATATATATACATATGTTATCTGCCTGAATTATAATCACCCAGCATTAAAACAGCTAAAATAATGTCAATTTGGGATAGTTATCTTTACTGACCATCATTCCAGTGACGCCACGACGTGAGGTCATTATAAATCATCCAGAGATTATAACGATTATAGAGAAATTCCCCATTCAAACCTCCATTTATAGCGGATTTCCCCATGATTTTCCCATGATTCACCCAAACGAAAGCGCAACGCACCGAAGTCCAAGTGGCGACAAAGGATCGCCTTTTGACTGGTGCAACGGATACGCCAGGTGCCATCCTCGAAGCCTTCCTTGGATCATGATGAATTAATCTACGGATAATCTATAGATAATATATGACATATATATATAATATAATAGTAAACATAAGATAATATAATAATAATAATAATAAAATATAATATCATATAATATATATATACACATATGTGGATAATCTATAGATAATCTATATAGATAATATATGGATGAAAATATGGATAATATATGGATAATATGTGGATTATGGATGTAGGCATAATTCAAGTATGGATAATATCTGGAATATCTATACAAAATGTATGCAAAAATATGCGTACATATAAAATTTGCCTACATATATCCAATTTCCCTCTCTCTCTCTCCCTATATATATACATTGATCTATCGATAGATAGACGCACAGTGATATATGCAAATGATTCTGGATGTACATCTGATATATGTATATACAAATATGTGTGCGTGTATTCATATACCTATAATTATGTTATAGCATTTACTAAGCATATAATATCTGGGTGAGGTTCTATTGATTTCATATACAGTAAATCTGTGATGGCAAGGATGCCCTTAGAAGACTACACCTATTGTGAGCATTTAACATGCAACGTATTTGTGTTTCTTTGTGCTTGTCCTCAAGCACTGTCACATCTTGGCACCACCAGCCATGATGCTCCAACTTTCTAATCATTTCCCAATAAGGCAAGGCGCTTGGAGAGGGAAAAAATGGCGCGTCATTTTCAGCCTGATCTTTGCCTTGAGGATACGAAGGCAAAGAGGGACACCAAAAATATCACTCAATAGTAATTCAATAGTTCCAAGTATCATCTGTGGATAACCCTGGATAACCCCCTCCTGAAACTACTTCAAACAGTCCCGAAAAGAAACTCTGGTTTGACATTGGATCTGATTATTCAATATGATTCATGTCATTTCATGTCGGGCTGCTTGGCATCGGGTATTTCATTAATTCGGTGTTCAGGGCCTTTCAGGCCATAACTGGCCACCCAGCTGCAGGAATCATGGCGCGAATGTTGAAAGCCACCGTCCAGTCTTCAAGGGTGCTGGCATCCTTAAGCCATGCCCGCCATGGGCGAGACGCTGATGGTTTTGAAGTGGGACATAGGGGGTGACAGACTGACAGATCAAAGTCGTGAGTAGATATAAGTAGCACAATAATCGATCTATCTATTTATCTATTATCGATTTATCCATGTATCTAGTTATCTATTTATATATTTGTTTTTTTCTGTATTTTTTTCTTTCCTTCTTTCTATCTATCTATCCATCCATCCATCTATCCATCCATCCAGCCAGATCTATCTATCTATCTATCCATCTATCTAAAATATCTAAGATATCTAAGATATCAAATCTATCTAATCTAATCTAATCTAATCTATCTATCAGTTGCAAGTGTATATATATATATGATAACAATAACGGCAATAATAAATTGATGATAAATATATAAATAGTAATAGTAATAATAATAATAATAATATATAATAATATATAATAATATATAATAATAATAACAATAGTAATTCGCTAAATGGCCCCGGGCTTGGGCTGTGGTTGGCGGTTTCAAGGCATCCCAAGAATGTGTTGCTCAAACTGAAGCAAACACCAGTTGATAGTCTACAGCACCAGTTGGCATGTTGGGCTATCACCCGTTTGGGAGATACCCAACACATGCAGGAAGCAACTGCGTTTTATCGCATCTTTGCGGTATGATTGGAGCCCGAAACGGAGGATGGTTGAGATCTCTCCTTTGGAGGTGTTGAGGAAAATGTTCTTTGATTAGGTGCCATCATGAGCCAGCCATAGCCAGCCAACATCTTCCTCGACCTCTAGTCATCTTCACACAGGCAAAAGTTTAGGTAGATCCAAAGATTAGAGAACCCCAAAACTTCCCCTGCTGTAAGCTTAACATAGATGCGGAAAACCCACCATTTGTAGATCATTTTCCAGGGGAAGCCATTGATTTCCACATTGAATGGTGACACTTCACTAAACATGTCAAGTGTCTGCCGGTTTCATGCCCACCGGCCGCTTGCTGCTGGCCCATACATCTCCAGCAATGTCGGGATCGTGCTGTGTGACACGCCTGCTGGGCACCTGGTTTCACGGGCACCCTAGTGGACTCCAGTTCAATTTTGACCATCTGGTTCTATAAACTGGGCAAAATTCCACTGAAATCTTAATCTTCAGTAGGCAAATCAGCTGCAAATCGCCACCAAGGCACAACTGCAGAGGCACGGTGATTCTGATGCACCGTCCGTCCTCATTCCCCCCCTTTGTGGCGCCTGGAAAAACCCCGCAGCCCAATTTGAGATGGAACCTCAAGAATGCTATCTGGAAAATGATGGTCCTTTGAAATATAATATGGCCATTTTGGGGTTGCATGTAGGGGATGTACATCTTGGGCAATGTCGATGTGGTAACGTGATTGACATGCACACTGGTTCCTCATCGCATCCCATCTGTTTTCATAATCATCATAGTACGTACTTATTGCATTGCCATGCATCCACACACACTTTGAGAACACATCAGCCTAATATGGCCTTTCCCCAGTAATAACACCTCTCCCAGAAGCCTTTTTTTAGTACTTGTGGTCCTGATTTACGATGATCTTGCAATAAAAAAAACTAGTTCCACAATGAATGAACATCATAAGGATGATTCATTCAGCCCATTCCTTCCATCTCTTCCATTTTTTGGAGGCACAGGCACCCAGGGATACACCATGAATTCCGAACCAAAAGACTTTGCTGCGTCATGCCCAACATTCCACCACGAGCCCCCGCCATCACACCAGCTTGGAGGCCGAAGCGCGGAGCTAGCCGAAGGTATTTGATTAGATCCGTGATGGGTTGCTTGACCCAGGAGCAACCACCAAATGTTGATATTGGTGTAATTATATATATATATAGCAAATCTTAGCATATTCACTCAGAATTGGTTTAGCCAAAGCAAACAGCTGTGCAAAGGGATCTCTTTTCATGGGCCCTGGGATCGAAGTCAGGTCTGCGCAGCAGTCCGAACACCTCCTGGTTCGCACAACCGTATTTTCACCTTCATAACCGTTCTGTCAAAAACTACTGTAATGTTTGCATACCCATCCAGCCTGTCTTAAACCTCACAAGACCATCAAATCACTTTTTTCTTGGTGATTCTTGAGCAAGCGCTACCGCAAGCGAAAGGTGACAGCAGTCGCTCAGCCAAAAGAAACCAAAACATAAACTTCCGACCTGGTCGCCCCTACAGTATGTACCAATAGAAGCAAGTTGAAATTGGAAATAACCCATTCCCCCATATTCCCCCTAATATTTCACACCCCCCAGAAACCATGGTTTAGTAGGGGATTGATACAATCAGGGTGCATCTTTTTCTGAAAGGGGGATGGGATTCCCAAGTTGTCATGACTTTTAGCAGCCACCTTTCTTAGGCACACATTACACATCCTATCAGCGCCAATGCCCTGGGTTCCAGGCTTTCTGGCTCGGTCTGGGCGGCCTCAGCGCATCTTACACAGTAAGTCACCCAACAGAGCAAAGTGATACTTTGGGTTAGCGATTTTGAAAACGAATTACATCATATTACATCATCAATCATTCCCCTCCTCCTCCTCCTCCTTCTCCTCCTCCACACCAGCAAAGCCCCGCCTCGCAGGTTTGCGGATGTTGACGGTCGGCATTCCATTCTCTGCCGAAACATCCGCTGCAGCAACCGCTCCCACTGGCGCCTGACAGAAATGTAGGAATGTAGGTTACTCTGGGGGAGAATTTGTGTATCTATGTTGATGGAGCGGATATTGATATATATATATATTATATTATATTATAGTTAGCTGTTAAAATTCGAGGTTTTACGACCTGATCATTCAACATGGCTATGGAACATCACCCTTGACTTGCAAAGATCGTATCAAAAGCACAAAAAACCTTACAAGACTACTTGGGTTTCATCCAATTTTGTTCATTATAAACCAACATGTTGGAAATTAGTTATATAATAGTCATAGAGTACACAAGAGCCACCGATAAGATTCAAATATACAAAAAAAATGCACGTGAACAAAAGATACCAATGGCTCTAGCAAGCCTTGCAACGTACCCATTCCTCTATAGGAAGACTGTTTTTGCAATAGTTGTTCAAAAGGTCTATTTTCCCTATAGTTTTTGCAATACCTCTGTTGGAGAAAAATGTTTGTCATTTTGGAAAGGAAGCGTGTGTTTTGCAATATGTTTTTCACAAATATGCGTTTTAAATAAAAGGTAGACTTACTTTTGCCATTCCACATTTTGAAGAAGAAACATGAAAGTCATCAAACAAGAATCCTGACTTAAGTTGTTTGCAATGCATGTGAACTTGTAACATGACAAATCATAAAACTTGACCAAGCATTTCCACTTAAACGTGACAAAATGGGGCGAATATGGGCGAATATATGCCTCACCTTTCAACATCCAGATCATCATAATCATAGGCTATATACTATATAAGTTTTATATATATATATACATACAATTCAAAATTCATATACCCATGATATGTCCATATTTTTTTTGTTTAAATCCCCATTGTTTCATGGTTTTTCCGTTGATTCCCCGGGCTACCCATCACACCTCCGAGGTCATCTGGCTGGCCTCACTGGCAGTGACCTGACATATGTTTCATCACGTGCATATGGAGTCCATGGTGATGTGTTCTTGCTATGGAGTCCATATAATCATATAAGTGAATATGTGTATATATATATATATGCATATTTGCTATCATAATCATATATCATATATCCACAAAAATCTAGCTATAACATACTATAACTATCATTATGTCATAGTAATCATCGCTAAAATGATAGCGATTTTGCAACCCCGTCGACGACTTCTCTCTCTCTCTCTCTCTCGCTCTCTCTCTCTCTCTTCGCCTTCTCAGCCTTGTGAGCCTTGGCGTCCCCCATGAAGGACAGGTCCTCTGGGATCACTACGCCTGGTGCCGCTGGTCTGCAACTGCTCAAACATGTGTGGTCACCAAAATGCCCATTCAATATCTATCACAAAATCTTCATATATATGTATATGTTTATCAATATATATATATACATATAATATATATATATATACTGTATGCAGATATTATTCACAGATCATCAATGTAAACAAATATAAAGACTATATCACCAACTTGTTACCAAGGTGTAACACTTACACCTGGCACAATCCGGTGCCACCTGCGTTGGCCAACTCGCTGGCCGCCCACTTTTGAATCTGCGCTGCCTTCTCCTGACGCTGAGGGTTGCTGTTTCAATATGTCATGCTTAAAAGGAAAACCACTGGTTTTTGGAGATTTTGATGGGCCCTTTTTTGGGGAAACACATGGAAACACCCATATTATGTGTTTGAATGTTTTTGAAGCCAAATAAAAGGCAATACGGGAAAGGCAGAAGGGTTTCCAGGAGGTCTTTGGGTTTCGAAAGCCATTCGATAATCGTTTACAACCACTGGGGGGTAAGAGCAATCTGAAAACAAAACATCAGAGTGACAAAAAAATGTCGTGGAAGCAGTCACAAGACTCTTTCGGATCCTTCTTGTCGCCCAGATCCACCAAACCATGTTTTTCTCGCCATCTTAAAGCCATGCTGTGTCTTACCAGGCGCACCTGTGGAATCCGTGGAACTGGGGATCTGATCAAGACTGTCAACATATGTCAACATCACTTCTGTGGACTTCCACTCTTCAAGCAGCAAAAGTCCAAGGTATCCCAAGGTCTTCCGATAATCTAACAGTTTGCCATGGAAGATCAATCAAAATCGGTATATCATCTATAAATGGTCCATTTCCATAGCTATGTCAAATATTGACAAACTACGAGATCAAGGTGGTCGAAAGCATGGAAGAGTCCACAGCGGTTGTGCAACATAGTGCAACCACAGGCACAGCACATGAGAGCTTTCTCACCCCCAGGCTCTTGTGGTAGAAGCCTGGGACGTCAATTGGAATCATTGAATTTCCATGGGAATGTTTGATGGATTTCAGATCCAGCCCGGACTCCAGACGTTGCACGGCACCATCACCCTGCCATCCTATTAGTCATCCTATCCATATTATTCCATCCATCTTTTTGCGGCGTCCAAGCTTCTTTCATTGCGCTCCAGCGATTTCCACCCGCAAGGGTCAGCCTGTGCAGAATCAGCTGGCAGAAGCTTCATGGCATTTTCCTTGCCTTGAACACCACCATGTGACCATGTGCATCCATGCTAAAGATATCTAAAGACTCCAACATTACCAAAATGTGGCAACAGGAAGTGTGCCATGACATGTCTTTGTCCCCGATTTGAAGTGCTACAATGGTCGTCTGCTATGGGATAACATTAATTAGATAACTACAAACTCTCTCATATAGGCTATAGATTCTACCATAGATCTGCCTGTAGCGACTCCATCCGGCACCTTCACATCTGCCAAAACCTCCTCCGTGTTCCGCCGTGCCGCTTGGTAAGAGCTTTCCTTTGGCTTCTGAGTCACCAGGATCGCCTGCTGGGACATGCTGGGAATCTGGACCTGCTGACCCCAGCCATCCCCAGCCGGACCTCTATTCGATGCAAATCATCCATGGCATAGGTCGCCTCCGCGAACGAGAACGTAATTTACTGTCCCAGCACATGTTCGGGATCATGTCCAATAGCCATCCTGATTTTGGGGTTACATTATATTATTAATTAAACATATTGAAATCAGCAGCACAGAGCATTGGCCAAATTCAGAATGACGTCAGAACAATGCTTGAAAGATCCGTCAGCTTCTTCGGTCTTAAGTCTTACGATGCGCATTTCTTTCGCCCGTCCAGGACACATCCAAAATGTCAACATTCTGTCTCAAAGGGGCTGGGTCAAGACTGTCGACCGACTGAATGATCCCAAATGGATGGCGTTCGGTTCAATGGGTGCCCAATGTGGGCTCATATGATTCCCTCAAACCTCCATCACAGACATTGGCAAATGGAGCGCTCGCCGGTTCTGGGAATGATAAGCATGCCAATCAATCCTTGGAATCAAAGGCCAAATCAGCCAAGCACCCAAGGGGACCCAAGGGCTTTGCTTAAAGTGAATCCTCCACAAACTGCGTCTATCGAGTAGATCATTTAGATTCATTTACTGCATGAATATATCAAAATATCTGAAACTAACTACTATGTGCAGTAGTTATCATTAATTCCTGGCTTCCAAATTGCTGAACCATATGGATCGCAACCTAGTCTACAAAAAATATCACAAAATAACATGGAGTGAACTCATTTGAAGTCATCCTCTTGCTCCTCACCTTGTATACAGCTGCCCCAAAGGCAGCTAGATGCCAAAGGCATCATCCAAAATCATCCAAATGGAGGGAGGGAAAAAGATGTGCCATTGACCAATAATTGAAATACCACTGAAGGACCAAGGAACCAACGTTCGGTCTTCGAAATGTTCGCTCCATGGGTTGTATGTTCATAATCCCTTCCTAATATTGGATTCCCCAGGCAATGAGTGTAGTTAAGGGAGAAGGGATGATTGCAGCTCCACGTATCATCTAGAAGGAGAACTGCGGCTGAAAGTCTGCTTTTTATCCGGAAGGGCGGAGACCAAGTTGGAAGGCCTTGGAAGGCCCAGGACTCAAACACAAAGCCTGAACTGAACCAACCACCCATCCAACACGCCCAACACAAGCTGATCAACTATTCTCTAGCACTCCTGGGTCTGGGCATGCAGTATGAGTGGATATGCGTTCATTACATGCACGCATGATATGCCATGCAAATAACTCACTGATTCATGAATCATTGTTGAAACACATCCATTATACCCATTACCCTCTGGTAATTTAACATAGCTATGGAAAATCACCATTTTCAATGGGAAAACTCACTATAAATGGCCATTTTCAATAGCTATGTTAAATTACCAGAGGGTATCAACCGCCTTTTTAACCGCATCCGAGCCGCAGCCGTTCCAACATCCGCGCCATTCCGAGGCGACGATCACCCGTGGAGTAGGCCAATTGGATGTCCAAGACACCCTGTGGCACAATCTTCAGCTGGATGGGAATCTCCTGCAATGGGATATTCCCAGGCTACCCATGGCTAGATATCCAATGATATCCATTGATTTGGATCACATGTTTCACCAAAAAATGTAGAAACAGCAGCCCCAAACATGGGCTGAAACTCCGTTTCCAAACACCCGTTTTTTGGAAAATGGGAAAGAAATAGGAAGATCCACCCAAGTTATCCCATCGACGATGCCCAAAGCACGGTCTCCGGTGTTTGGTTTTCTATATCTGTTACCCTTTCGTGGGATTAATTTGCGTATTCGCAACTTTCAAGAGTCCTTCATGGAAAAACATGCTGCAGCAGACTATCCCACCCTTCTGACCTGATGCATCAAACTCTCGAAATCAGCATCAGCGCCCCACATCCTCAACCATCGGGAACCCATCAAGCCACCCTGGAACTTTTGTATATATACTTTTGCTGAGTGGGACCGCCTGGCGTTCCATTCACAAATGGCACTGAAAAACCTGAAAACATTGGAAAATGCCAGTGTTTAACATTGTGGCACCTTCTGGTGAGCAAATCACTTGCACCGCTATTTGATGAACAATCGAGCCGTGTTCAAAAATTGTTTCATGTTCCTTTTCCGAGAATTCAAAGCTTACATAGGAGCTTCTGTTTACTTACGTTTTCTAAGGTTTTACATTTGGCAAAACAATTTCAAAGAACTAAAGCTTACGCATCTTTTACGGCAAACCAATATTTTGGGAACATGTAACGATCCAGTTGCAACGGAACCACAATGGGCCAGGGTCAGCGAATGCAACTTTCGCTTACAACTAGCTTACGGATTGGTGTTCAGTAGCAGGTCATTTTGTGACCCGGCTGCAGGGATCTGCAGGGCATGCCCCTTGCTGTCCCAGTAGCAGTTTCGTAATCTTTGGGCTCTCCATCAAAGGACGGAAGGCGTCGATACCTGAGCGTCGCCAAAGAACCCGCGGTGATCCCCGGCAGAGCACTCTACTGCACACATGAACCATTATCATGCGGGTTTTCTATCTGCAGTAACAATCGTATTTCTACATATATAATATTATATATTTATATAGTTATTATTACACAAACATATATATATATAATAAATATATGGTTATCTAAAAAAACATATAAACACCAACCGTCCAAAACATGACAAAATATGACCAATTATCAACCACAACCACTGGTCAAAACAAGAACACTCATACTGACACCTTCATACAAGTACTTCAATACCCCGCACATGTTTTCTTCACCATCACAACACTCACAACACGGCCTTTCGAAAAACTGCGGACATGCCACATGCAGAGCTTCGCAGGTCAACTAGTAGCCCCAACCTTGGCATCTCTAGCAGCCAGAAAATTACCCACAAGTTATATAGCTCCAAAATTGGGAAATGGGGAGCTGGCAGACATGCATTTTTTGCAAGAATCTCAGCATAAGTTCCAATGTTCTGGATTCCAATGCTCTGGAAGGATGAGCAGAACCATCTGCGTCCGATATCGTCCGATCAAAGACTGCCCCACAAACACCAAACACTGCCTGCGGTTGGCCACAAGAAAGCAACACCAATCGAACCAGCCAAAAGCTTCTCAAAACTTGCTGCCACTAGTTGCCAAAAACTGTCCCAAAAAAAAAATCTCAGTTGAGGTTTCACATTTGATCCCCCAAGCCGTTTGCAAAAGTGCAGCGACTTCCAGTGCTGAGGACCAAGGCGGGAAGTGTTTGCGCTGGAAAGGGACAGGTCTTAAGATCTTGTCCAGGACCTTGCACTCTGCCGGCAGGTGTGAAATCAAGAGACTTTCGCAACATAGTTGAAAACATACATACAGATATACTATCTGGTTATTTAACATAGCCATGGAAAATCACAATTTTTAATAGGTAAACCATCTATAAATGGGCCATTTTCCATGGCTATGTTAGTCATAACCAGATGGTACATAGACTACACACATACGGATAGATGAAGTCCCGGAAGGTCCCAGCTGTACGTTGCGGTTATTACATGTTATTTTTCTGTGGCACTGGCACCCAGACCACCTGTGTCTTCCGGAAATCCAACTGGGCAGGGCACTGGCGTGGCAAGGACCGCAGCAGTGCTGAGTTCACCACAGTGCCTCCAGGCAATGCATGGGTCATTTGTCATCAGTCAATGCAGCACGATCCAGCGAAAATGACTCAAAAGCCATTCCCGGTGCCACCAAGAGACCCAAGCATCTCACCCTCAAAATCAGCTAGGAGGAAGCTTCCTTCAGCTTCACCTAGGTATCAAGAGGGGCTGAGAGCAATCTATGTGAGCTTTGTATAAGGGGTCTTCCGCGGACGCTTCCACAACACTTCCACGGGGCTCCCGCAGCGCATTCACATCACTTGGTTCATGTCGGACATACCCCAGGGCCAGGGGAATGAATGCTTTGACAGCGATCTGTAAAATGATCTTGAACCCTGGAAGCCCAAAGGAAGTCTCTGAGTGCTGTAGGCATTGAGATTGGATGTTGTGAACCTACTTCTCGGGCATTGACTGACCAGAAAACTGTACAGGTCAGCGGCCCTGTATGTGTTGGATTGACGATTTCGGAAATGTGGAAGGAATGCCACGTACGGAACCCAGAGTAATTGACACAACATCGGTATGAAATGTTCAAGGCATTGTGTGGAAAGGAATTTTCGAAGCCTTTGATTCATGGCCCAAGAACCTTCATAGATCCTTCATAGTTATCCCCATCCCCAACTCCCCAACTCCACCACGCCCAGTCCCAGTGGCAGCCGTGAGCATATGCCACCAACAGCTGCAGGAGGGTTGACAGTTCACCAGCAGTGGGGGCTCGGAAGCCATCGATAAGCCCTGCCAATGTGACGCAGGGAAGTGATCCACCCGGAAGGAGTGGAAAGGATTTTTTTTTACCTCCAAATCTTTGGATTTTCCATGATTTTCCTGCAGGTTTGTACTCCCAAATGTCAATTGTCATCAATGCATGAAAGCACGCTGTTCCAATCGCCGTTTGGGACTTAATCCCTTCCTATTCCTTATGCTTGAAAATAAGATACCTCTCAACTCTCAACCCCAAAAATGAACTATTACATCCATACAAATCCTGTATACTAAAGCAGGGCGTCGGTCTGTTTGATTTTGGGGGCATGGGATTGTGTTCTATATTTTCGTTGAATCCTCCCCGTTATTCCCTTTTAATCGTTGAATGACCCATTCTTGATGGTGGAAGCCCTGTTGTCGATGGATTATCTACATATATTTCAAGGGTCACTTGACTTGCCCCTCTAGCTCCCATTTTGTAGCGATATTGACTATCCCTGTCCCTGTCTATCCCTGTCCCTGTCCGCATCTTTAATTAGTTGGCTATGCAATGTTATGTATATATTTGAAATTGGTCAGCTCAATGTAGTGGTTGATTCAAGTTTCGAAGGTATCGGATTTCTTTCTGAACTTTGAAGCAACCGAACTCTGTGCTCGTTGTGCGGCAGGCTGCACCCCACCAACTCCGTTAATGACTCCCATAAGCACATCAACAGAAGAAAAAAAACATCACATTCCTCAAATTTACCCACTTTGAAGTTCACAAAGGGGAAATATCTTTTCCCATCTTCTTGTAGTGATTTCCATGTCAGCCCAGCATGCATATGGGATAATAATCCACCAAAAAACACTAGTTTATTGCGAATAGTGGAGGGATGTGGAGGGGTCTCATTATTGATAGCACATTGCATCCTAGCACTTTTTCGGGGTACCATCCTTAATCTATCAGAGTTGGTACCCTCCGGTACTCAAACATGGCATTTGGAAATCCCCTATACCTGGAGGTTTTAATGGAAAATCATGGAAAATCATCGAACTAAATGGGGAATTGTCATGGACTTTCGGTTGCTTTTGACCGGAGGCGACTGCAAAGCCTTGCTGAGAGATAACCAGGAAAGGACATCGAACCGAACTGGAGGCGATGAACGGGGACCTTGGCATGGCGAGAGCGGGGGCCCAAAGGGAAACCCGGGGACAATCGCCCCATTTTCTATCCTCTTCAATGGGAAAATATATGGGAAAATGATCTCTAAAATTGATTATTTGCTGGCGAGTTACCGCTAAAATGTCACAGTTGTTGATAGGGATTTATAGGGGATATAATGGATAATACTGATGATGGGTATCACTAGCCAACAATAATGGGTAAATACTGTGGATTCCCATATTAGTTTCATGTCACAATGTTGCGCAATACCAAGCTGCATCACCCGGTAGGTGGACTCCATCTCTGCAGGGCTGACACCTCAGCCCCAATGGTTTTTATGACAGTCCGGTAGGGGGATCATCCCATTGGGGGATGGTGCCAAGCCCAGAAATCAACCACACTTAGGGATGATAAGTTGATTATTGAGTTTACCTACCAAGTTTACCACATTGATGTTATTGTATATGTTATTGTGAGATCTTGTGAGACATTGGAAGACCTTGTGTTGCACCAATGACATACATCAGTTTTTGGTTGAAAGGAAGGGGGTCACGACCTGCCCTCGCGCCTGCAGTCGTTAAGAAGTCCTGCACTGAAGTGATACAGCTGCCCTCAGGGAAGATGCTCTCCATGGGGATGTCCTCAGTGCATTTTTGCTGGATACGATGCTAGTCTCCACCATCAAATACCATGGGTTTCTGGATGTTTCTGGTATGTTTATTTCCCTGAAAGCAAGTCGAATGTTTTCTGGAAGCACGTTGCGGCGAATGGATCAAGCCTTAGTTGCCTTGTCAAAATAGCCGACAGGTGGACGTTCTTTCCTCCTTTCCAATGCTCCCATAGGTTTTAGTCCATTTCCAATTGAATCCATCCCAACATGTCCGCCTACCTACAACATCCCAAACCTGAGGGTCATGCTCATACATCCTAAAAAAGCTCTAGCCGTTGGGATTTTGTAGAGGAAAGTCCTGGGGGTATCTCAAAGATACATCATTCTACATGACATTCAGGATGTCTGATGTCACACGATTTGGGGTCAGTTCCGATTTCAAACCATCATTCCAACCATTGTTAATTTATGGTGGCATGGCAGTGAGGTACTATAATTCAATATAATTCACACAGATCCCAATGTATACATGTAGATCACTTTTTTTTACCATTTCTGGATGACCTACACCCCTACATCCCCAATGGTCAACTCCCATCATTGCCCAGTGGTCCCCACCTTGTCGATGCGTCGACAGCTGCTGGCCGTGGGCTTCGCCGCAGCCTTCCTGATGTTTTGAGGGGCACCAAGTAATGGGGGAACTTCCCCCCTTCAACTGGTTGAGGAAAACATATGCAAACAACTATATATGTGTACGAATTAGTACGAATCGTGTATACATATAATATATATATATATAATTATGTATGAATTTATATGATGTATATTAGTAGTACTACAGTGAGCTGTAGAGACTATACCCTCGTAGTTCTAATATCTTCTCATGATTCTGTTGGCTATGACGGGGTGAACATATGCTGTTTGATGCTGTTTGATTTGTTTTGTATCATTTTTGAAGACATGACTGGTGGCATGATGGTGAAGTGGGGGGTCAAATATTCGGGGACATTATGAGGTATCTCCCTCTAATAATTGTTAGTAATAACAATAATAAGGATACTAATTTATATATAACTAATATAAAAATATAATCCTCAATAATTGGGAAAAGTACAAAGGTCACCTTTGTGACTTGAGGGTTGTGATGCATCTGTTTGCCAGCTATATATATATATATATCAACCCCTCCATCAGCTTGGGCTTGCGGCAACATCTCCAAACACCCAACTGGGGTTCTGGGCTTTTGTGCATACTCCACACGGTCACCTGGCGCCAAGGTTCACTGCACAGGGGATTCGCTGACATAACATGGGACGTAGGCCACTGGAAATCCCTCTTGGTGATTGGTAAAAATGTTCAGCCCCCGGACAGGGCAAGCTAGTGGCTAGTAGCACACAATCAGCTGCTCACATGATGCGTAACCCCATTCCCCTGATATTAAACACACCCCAAATGATCCCAAATATGTGTAGATCCCCTACTAGACCGTGGTTTCTATAGGGGTGTTTACTATGGGGAAGGGATCATACCTGTCTATTAATGTCTCATATTTCTGCTGGCCCACACCTGCTGACAAGCTGGTTGCATCCACCAAGACAGAGCCATGCACAAAGACGTCATCCCCCCCTCCTGGACAGCGCCAAGGAAGCGACAGTGGCAGTGAGGTGGTCCACAACTTCCCCGGGCATTGGGAAATTTTGAATACTTGGGATATTCCTTGGAAGATCTTGGAAGGATTGATTATCATTAGACTACATTTTGTATCATTTTGTGGGGGTATATTTACCAAGCATCTGTCCTTTTGTCATCCGTGTCTTGTGCTACGCACATGCCACGCCTTCTGGCACCACGAAGCCAAAATTCCGATGGTCTAGCCACTTGGTCACGAAGCCTGAAGAGAATGGTGGGATTCAGATCCTAATTTAATGGGATTATGATGGATCCTGAAAAATTGGTTTACCATCCGGTGTCATCAATCAAACGTGGCTAGCTGGAAAATCCCTGCACTAAATGAAGGTTGTAGCTGGGAAAATCATCGAACTAAATGATGGATTTTCCAGCAAACCACGTTTGATTACCGGATGGTAAGGGAATTTGAAGGGAAAATCATGGAAATCAAGTCCTTGGGGCTTTACCGGCTTTACTTGGCTTTACCCTCAAATAGAGCTTTCCTGCAGGGGTTCTGACATCAAATCTGAAACATCTGCAGTCCTTCCATCCCAACAGTCGCTGGTATCTCCATGTGTGCGATGAGGTGTTGGAAATACGGAGGCAAGGCGGCAAGGCCCCGGGCCCCAAACTGACCAAAGAAGTTCCAGAAAGTCGAAGAAACTGTAGACAATGATGCACCCCTACCAGCTAACTGGGTGTAGAATCTAGAAGCATATGGGTATGTCTGAAAATGGGGTATACCCCCAATTATAGCCATTTAGTAGGGATAATGATCATTAACCATTGGGTGTAGGGGTACACTATTTTCAGACAAACCCATATAGGTACTGTATCGGTACTGTACCATTTGGACATATTTAGATCCATTGAGTCCAGAAGAGACTTCGAATCACTGGGAGTCCGCACCACTGGGCATAGCGAGTCACGCCATGAAAAACGCGCCCAAAGCCAGCTGAGGAGGTGGATGGGCCACCAATTCATGTAGTTTTAGATGATTTTTATTGATTTTTGAATGTTTCAGATGGGTATGAACCTGGTGTTTTCTTAGTACTGACATACCCAGTAGGGCTCCATCTTTTCTGACACTTACTCTGGGGACCTGTAGGGATGGATTCGGTGATCTTGGGGTTCAAGAAAGGTTGAATGTTTGTCAGGATCTTTCGCTGAGTGATGCTAGCGGTCCATTGCTCCGATTGCGCCCTGGGTTTGTTTCTGAGTGCGGTGGAAGGTTGATGATACCTGGAGTTTTCATGTCTAGTCCAGGCCTTCCTCCGGTCTTGGGCATCATGGCCAGCAAATGTTGGCAGATGCGGTGGTGGTTGACTGGCAGAATGACAGGGAATTTAAACTCAATACATCCACGCTGGGTTGACCGCTAGTGGGCAACAAACATGTGCAGCATCATCAGCTACGAAAAAATACGAAAAGTAGGTCACATCCATGTCTGGCCGCTGGCCAAGGTTGCAACGTCTGCTTGAAGTCACTCTCATCCTTCGCATCGTGGGCAGGTTCTATGCTGTCAAATGATCCTCAAGGAGGTAAGGTAGATCATTCCGATGACTTCCTCTAATGTGAAGAATCTGAAAGACATGAGTCAGAGTCTGATAATTAGCTACAACTAATGTCATTAAGTTCCAATCTAACCAATCCAGCACCAAGTGGTGACCCACCCAACTCCTTTACAGCCTGGACTGGAGCCTCAGCTGAGAGCCACGCTGGTGTTTGGAACTGTGGAATTGTTGGGTTCCATTGGTCCATTGGTTCCATGACAAACACCTAGCCCCAGTACACCTTGGAGCACTTCTCTGGTACCCCAGGAGTTTGAAGATGCAGTGTGAACAACTTGCCTCCCAAGATTGAAGCCATCAGCCGTTTCAAGACCAGCAGAAATAAACTTCACATAATGTCACATCCGAAGTTGTGCAGTAGGGGTTCTGATTTCTTTTTATCATCTCATAGTGATAAGCCATTACAAACCCCCACACTACACAATTCAAATGGAAGCATATACGTAAGTCTCGTAAGACCCCCATCAAAACCATTCAAAACCTACCTACTGTAGGTTGTTGATGGTTGTTGATGTTGTTGCTATCCCACGTCATCCGGAACCATCATAATGCACGTCTCAGGAACCATGGCTGCACCCGGCTGGGCTCCCGCCCGGCTGTTTGAGCTTTTGAGCTGCCGCAGGGTCAAGTACGGTCAAGTTCGATAGGAATACATCGGATGGTTTCAGCTCATCCATCCCATTCCATCCCATCAAAAGGCACAAAAAAAAAAATGTGCCTTTTCATGTGTCATTTTGTGCTTGCAGCAGTTGTTCATGATGAGCAACGTTTGCATGCATGTTTGTGCAGCCGTTTCGTGTGGCCAAGCCCTGAAGAGTTCCTAGAACGAAAGCTTGGATTGTTCATGGCCACGCAGAGATAAAAGGCTGCTTCTTTCGATTGGTCGTTGGCTTGAGCATTTTCATTCCCGTTGGGGAATCCTTGTAAGACGTGTAATGGGTCTCGCTCTGGAGCCTTGGGACGGAGAGAAGTCCAGAAGAGCCCAAGGCCCAAGGTGCCCTATCTTCAAGTCCCGGAAGTGGTTCAAAGAGATATGTAAGGTACATTTATAAAATCAATACACGCACATATGCATATATGTTTATATATAATCCATGTATACCTGGAATATTGTGACCCATACATATCATTACATATCTATGATTATCTATGTATGTATCCATTATATTAGAATCCAATCCCCCTAATCTCGGTCCCACCCCCATTGCATGGTCCTCTTTTTTGGGGTGGTAACTCCCCAGACCA